CTATTCTGCATGCAATTTTAGAGAGGATGGAGTGTCCCTCTCCTCAAAGAAGCATGATAACTTGTTATCTGATAATTTAGACAATCTGACAAATATACTTTATACTAAAAATATCAAAATCCATAACAGGGTAAGAAATGAATAGTGAAAAACGTGTCTCCTTTTCAGATATCACTGCTGCAGGCTGCCTGTAGATGAGGGCTGGTCTCGATATCTCTACCACTGTTTCTTGAGGTGATCCAAAATTCTAGAAAATATATCAGACCTCTTCTTAACTGCCAGGGATTTTGATACAAAGTTTGAAATATTTTATTTCTGTACTGTCCTGTTTCAAGCAGGGATTCACATGGACTGCCCTAAAAGGAAAAAAATTTGTACCTTCCATCTGAGCTTATCCTGTCTGGCTTTGGAATGCTTTTGAATTAAGTGGTATCTTTTGTCACAGGTACAGATGACAAATGTAGTGCCTAAAATACAAGCAACAAGGCAACCAAGGCAGATGCTGAGCCCAACATTGTCAAGCATCATAGGTTTCAGTGCCTAAATTCCAGACGTAACTGCGTATCAAAATAAGTCATCACCACTGCGCCCACTATTGTTAGATCTCACACTGTTGCTCTCACCTTCTTTTACTGTCCCATTTTGGAACATGCTTTATACTTAGAAGGACACCGAGTCCTTCTGGTGAGTTTATCAGTTTTAACTGGTAGTAACCGGCATTGATTTTGTGTTGGAGCATGAGCTGAATAAAACAATTTTCATTTCCTACATGAAAAGCACTGGTTCATAGAATGCCTGTACAAGTTTTAAAGCCTCTCTAGACAAAAAGAGCTCCTTAAAAAGTTTGCAAAAGTATAATAGGTGCATATCAAAACATTTGTTACTTTCTATCTCTTTGCCGAGGGGTAACAAGAGATAACTAAGCAAATTTCATGCACATCCCACTCTGTTTCCTTGCAGGGTAAAATATGCAGCCCAAGTTACATGTGCAATGAATTTCTGCTCCTGAAATGAACACCCTGCAACAGAATTCAGGCTGGCATGCTGAAGAACAGTCAACAGTGAAGTTTACATTAGAATAACAAAACTTGTCTAATTTGTCATAGTAAAAAAAAATCTATTACTTCTGTCAAAGTGTATTGAGTATCAGTGGCTCCCACATACCAATTAAACACCTCACTTCACTGAAGGTGAGAGCTATTTGTTGCTTTTGTACACTTGACTGGAAAAGAAGTCATTACATACATAACAGCCACTATAAAATTGATGATGATTTAGCAAATATTGCATGAAAATGATAAAAATTAGAATAAAAATATTATTATGTACATATGTAGCTATAATGAAGACAAAAGAAGATTTAAGAATGGCATAATTTTCTTCTTCTAGTAGTGTCAGTTTATGATCTTACAGAAATTTTGTGCCTTATGAGAGAAATATTATCAAAAGCTGCTTGCACACAGCAAGATCTTGTAACAAACTTCTTAGAGTATAAAATCATGCTTTGATATGTCAGATTTTTACTTCTTGTTTTTTCCTTATCCAAGTATAGAAACACAACGTAATTTATTGCTTCCACTGAATAAAGAAAAGGAAAAAAAAATGTGCTTTTGAATAATGTAAGTAATGCAGAAAATGGGACGCGCTCTGGTGGGAAACTGTGTCTGTTGTATAAATAAAATATATGCAGCCATAAATATAATACGTAATACTCATTCCAAACCATAGTCACCTCTTAAGAAATAAACACTGGAGTCAAAGCAGGGTAACAGACTGGCAGTGCACTCCTGGCATTTGTCAGGAGCATTCGTCAGGCTGACAGTAATATTAACCACAATCCATTTCAGTTGCTTTGGTTTATCATTGTGTGACTGATGTTGAAAACAATGCCATAAGAAGCTGCTTAAATACATGTTGGTTTAGCCTATAGTTAAGTGTTGGTTTAACCTATACACTGCAGTTCTTTAAATCCGTGCTAACTGTGGACTTCTAGCTAACATATTAACAAAACTGTTATTCATATTTGACACTTTATAATACCTAACCTTAACTTGCAATTTCTAAAAAAAAAAAAAAAGAAAAATAAAAGAAAGAAAAATTCTTCATTTTTAATTAACTTAGGTACTAAAAAAAGTAGAAGTATTGACCTGACATCCTTTCTGCCAGGCCAAAATCAAAGTTTTCCTTTTCTTTACTCAGTGGGAGCACTAAGTTGTGATGCATTTCTGGAAGTGGATAAGGAAAAGAAATAAAGTAAAAGACTGTTAAAACAATGTAAAAATGTAAATGAAATATCTTTAAGTATTTTTAAAACCTTTAGCAGTGCAAAAAGCATGGACATGCTACAATACATAATTAGCGCTTATTTTGAAGCATTACCCCAAAGATAACAGTACTACAATGAAAATATCACAATATACATGACAGTCAAACATTTTCATAGTTGAATATTACCAAGGTTTTTTAGATATTTGCCATGAATTCATCATCTGACACAAAGCTTAACATTTAAACTACATAGAGTAGATACTGCTAGAAATGCCTAAACAGTAACCGAAACTTGAACTGCTGTATCTGAGACAGGTATGGCATAAAGACTTTTACTGTGTATATGGGAAGGACTGGCATTTATCCAGAACAGCAGTTACATTTTTAGAGATCAAGACGCACTGTCTGATCAACAACATTTAACAAAACATAAGGGAAAATCCATGTTAAATATACACATATGTAGAAATATTCACTATTCCCTAACAACAGGGGCAATTCTCTGCCAATCGCCTGTTAAAGATTAAAAGCTCCCAAGAATATAATTTTACAGGATTAAATATTATTAAATGAAACTCCTTCTATTCATAATACAGTATGACTGACATCTAATATTGTAATAATTATTTCCTGTATTAAGTTCATAGTTTTCAAACATATGATTGAGAAGGTTAAGTATAGATATAGATACAACCTAAGTAATGTCCACTTGGTAACGTCCCTAAGTAATGTCCTCTCTCAGCAATAGCAATGGAAAGATTCCCTCGGAACTTAAAGTATACCTAGTAATCCTCAAAGACTACTTTCATGAACAGAGAAATCCATATAACCAGTCACTGTTAATAAAAAAACACATATAAAAAGAGCGGATTTGCTATCCAATTTCCTAATGGAGGCAAGAGTGGTACCTAACTTAAATGAGGAAAAACTGCTCTACGCTGCACTTAGTCCTATTTCAGGGTGGAGGAAGAAAGACTACGACTATAGCACAGACTGAATTGACTAGTTTACAAATTAAAATACAATTAAAAGGAGATGCCTCAGAAGTATAGCAGCTGGAGAATCCTTTTTTGTCTTGAATTATTTTAACAATGACATGATATATGCAGAAGTGTCATTTAACAAAAGTTAATGGAAAATGAAGTTGCAAAAATCATGTCATAATCAAGGAAGTTATTAATGATTAATACATTTAATTTATGTACTAATTCAAGCTACACAGAGCTGATGTTACTCATAAGTTTTCAATTTTCACTTCAGTGTAATTCACACTGTAGTCCAGGTTGGCAATAGGTATTTTTAGTTGTAATCTACCTTCAGATATTTTTTGGCCTGGGAGTTATTAAGAAAGCATTTACTAAATTCCACATCAAGAAATTATTTTTATATATTATTTAGCTTCAAAAGATTTGTTAAACTATAAAAATATGTGTAGGTTTACCCATGAATATGGATTTGTGTCAGTCAGACATTCTGAGAAAGCATAGTGCTCATGACTTATTCAAATTACATAACACTATTAGAAAATATTACAATGACAGTACCTCAGTATATCCCTGCTTTGGACTTAAAAACATCATTCCTTTATTTTTATTTGTACATACATATACACCCACAGAAGGTACAGTATAGTCTTCAAATATACATACATATGTGTATCTATATACACATACCTATCCACATATATACATGTATATATAGTTGATGACTATACAGTACCTTTTTTAAGGTTAAAATACTAAATCCGTAGTAAAAAAATTAATTTTCCAGATATTTTCACAGACCTGTGTTTAGCTTAATCTATTGCAAACTGAAAGCAAGCACTTTTAAAAAATGCCTTTTTTTTCCTATTAAATTACCAATTTGTATGGAAGACTTTTGTAAAAAAAAAGCTATAATTAAAATACGTTCTTTACCTTTTCCACTAATTAACTATATAGTTCCATGTGCCAATCATTTCCCATAATAGCTAGCTTTTAGAAAAAGAACCTGTTTGATGATCAGTGCACCTAGTCTTTGTAGAGAAAATGAGAGATGCTTCTGCTTTGTCAAATGAAATATTCCTTTCTTGGAAAAGATTGAAAGAGAATAATCACATTCCATAAAGCTTTAAACAGGCTGTATAATATTGCATCTGCATATGTTTGTTTGGGAAAGAACCTTAGAAAAACAAGGCTACACTGCCAGAAAGAAGTTGTTTGGAAAAGTTGTTAAAAACTGACAATGTCTGTCTGACAAAAGACAACAGCATTGCTTGAGCATACCTGAAGGGGATACACAGAGGAAGTGAAAAAATAAAGTTTCTACTCATGGGAATAAGGGCAATGATTTAAAAGTACTTAAAATATAATGGTATCACAGGCTTTGCTACTAAAAAAGCACAATTCTCATCAGAAAAATGGGAAATTATTTGGCTAATTTTTAATCTTTAGCAGCCTCAGCATCCCTAACTTCGTTAAAATTTGAAATTAAATGTAATGCATATGCTCCAACTAAGAGCACCTTCCATTAACAATTTTTAAATTGATACAATCAGAAGCAATAAGAATACATCAATAATTCATTCTTCCACAATCTGATCCCTATTACCAGCATACGCATACAGAAATGAAACACTGTTAATGGTTGTGCATTTAACATTAATGTATCAAATGCAGCAGAAAACATTAACAAGACTGAAAGCTACTGTGATAAATACTGGAGAGAAAAAAGGTATATCTGATGACAAATACCTTTGACAAATCCCTAAAGTTGCTAGGAAGTGTAAGGTCCAACTCCTCTGATTCATAGTTGGTGATAACCCACGGGAAGACAGGGTACTGATTTAAATCATTGTAAGTTCGACCTGACAACAACAAAAAAAACCCACCATGAGTTAAGAGTTATATTTAACTAAAATACCAACCTCTAAAGATACAATATAACTTTAGAAACTCTTCAAAAGAACTGTAATTTATTTCGGATCTTTTATCATTTCAATATTCTACTTTGCTGTATTAAAAAGGATAATGAAAAAGTTCACAAATTGCTAGTATTTAATTTAAAACGTTGCAGCCCATTTCACTTTAATTGTAAACTCTTTTGCATACAGTAAGAGTGACAGTAAAATCCATTCATTTTCTAAGTATTTCTCCTTTCCTTGTTTATGTCATCTTCTCTTCTATTTCTTTAAGGTGAAACACTTCAAAAAATGGAGAGGCGATGACTTCTGTTGATACTAAAAATTAAAGCAATATTTTTACATACTGTATTAAATTCAATAAGTGAAAGCAAAATGAAGCAGCTCAGGATTTTAGATTGAGAAATTATGCAAGTAATAACCATTTCATCTAGAGAATACACTTTGAGGGGAATTCTTCCTTGAACATTGACCACCTATGGATATGCCAACATTTACCAGAAGAGGAAATCTGTTCTGGTTTCAGGTTCACACATGCACCTTCATGCACCTGTATGGAAATAATATCCTTGTTCCAGTAAAAACAAAATATTCAATTAGAATAATCATATACCATACATACACATACGCCACATAGCCTGGTTTATAATTTTAAAATGCTTAATTTTTACATGGATCCTGTCTCTTTTTATGATACTGTTGCAGAAGCTCATTCATTCACATCACCTCCAATCAGCATGCTCTCAGATTTTGTCTAGTCTGGCCTCTAAAGTCTCAAAGGACAGGGTTTTACTTCTTCCCCAGGAATATTATTTCACAACCCAATTTATCAGGTTGTCAGAAAACATTTTCTAAAACTCCACGTAGGTTTTTCTTTTTCCAGTTTTCTTACACCATTCAGGATTTTTCCATCCTGGTTTGCAGAATTTTTAAATGGTATAGTCAGATCCTTTCTTTCCCTAATCAGTTGGTTATGTTGCACATTATCTCTTATTCAGGGTTAAAGCTACTTACATGACACTGATATCTGTCTTTATTTGTTTCAAATTGATAGCCATCATGACAATCTTTAGTTGCCCATCATGGGCAACTAAACTTTCCCTTTTTCCATAATGTTGTCTTTTTATTCCTTTTAACCTCAAATACCAAGTAGGTAAGAATTCACTTTATTATTTCAATAACATATTAAAGCTGAAAAGGATCATTCACTAGAGCCACAGAAAACAGTGTCATGATCTTGCCTCTTTCCACTTCGGCAGTAAGGAGTCAAGCAGATCTACCCTACTTCTATAAAATCTGCCAGCATCCTGGCATCTCTGACTTAATGACTGATTACAGAAACTAGCAAAACTGACCATTTGTATAAAATGTAATTAGTGCGAGCAGAGGCATTTGTTTTATCAATCGTGTTAGCAAGAGCCAAGTCTGAAAGGGAATTAACGGACCTTTCAACACTGTCAATATCATAGAAAAGAGCTGAAAATCGAGAAATTTTGTAAGTTGCTCTGAGAACAAAATATGTTGGAAAATAAAAGAGAGGTCCTGAGACCTAACAATTAGCCTCCATTTACTAAACAAGTCGAGTTGGTTAGAAGCTAATGGGGTAAGATGGGTTTAATGAAATATAGCTTAGCATTTACAGAATGAGGGGTTAGGACAACCATAGAGAGGTACGAATTTGGATTTGGGAATGGATGAATGGTGTCCTGACACAGCAGCACTGGTTATCCAGGCACTACACACTTCCAAGACCAACCATACATCTTGTAACAGTAGCATTTGTTGGCTCCAGGAATATCCTGCTCCCCAGCTGAGGCTTCCCAGAGGGTTACAGCCCTACAAAGAACTTGTTGCATCAGCAGTATTTAGGGAGGATAGTACTTATGAATATTAAAACTTGGAATACTAAGGGATAAAGAAGATACTAGTTCTGAGACTCTCCTCTATAGTAGACAGACTATGTAGATCCTGTCCTGCTGCAACAGTCGAGATATTCTGACTTTAGTGATATATTTTAAGTGCAGTTCAGTACAGCGTTATGAATTGCATGCCTCTCTATTCTTACATAAACATAAAAATACATTACGAATAAAGTACATGTAGGAGGATTTTGTGAAGTTGTTTTTCAGGAGAAAATTGTACATAGAAAAAGTTATTTATTAAAAGGTCAAAATCGAGTAGTGCCCCATATCTGTTGAGATTGTGCTACCATTAACTCCTTTTCTGAGTCATTATAGTAATTTCTGTTACCTGCTATAGTGTTTAGAAACATCAGATATTCAAAGTTGGAAATTTCTCGGTGTTGCCATCGCTGGGTCATATTGGAAGCTTTGAAAATCTGTCGTGGACTAGCCAAAGAAATACGTCTGAAAAAAAACAAAAAAACACCCCAAAACATGGGAAAAAATAATGAGAAAATTTGGTGGGTCTTCCCTTTTACCTATCTGAATTTTAGTGGCAGTTGTACATAATCTTTCTACCAGTTCTATGCTAGATTTCTCTGGAGAACAAACTGCTATTTTGGACACTTGAAGTTCATTTTTAAAGTTTTATAATCTAGTAAGAACAAAAGACTGAAAACATCTGACAGCTGGATATGTCAAGATTTGAAAGCTTTCAAACAGAAACCTTTACAGCTGTGCAAATTCAGCTGCTCCATGAAGGCTTGATGTATTATAGAAATATGTTACTAGTGATTTAGAGAGATGGCAGACCATTAAATAAGAAAATTACACGACTTTTAGAATTTCACAAAAGAATAAAGTCATCTTTTAGGAGAGCTTTTTAAATCCCTCAAGAACAAAGGAAAACAATGATAAAATGATAGAACTTCATTATGAAGTCCATCCTCTTGTGATTTAAATTCTGGGCAGTGTTGGAGAGTTAGTCATAAATAACTCAATTAAACTTTCAGAATTTGATGCCAGATTTCCTGATGTTTGTGAAAGAAGACTATTGAGTCATTCCTTGGAGTGATAAATCAAGCAAAGAAGAGCTTATAAAATTCCCAAGACGGTTTTGTTCATAATAAAAACATCTGTAAATACCAGAACTACATCACTGGGGGGGGGGAATCTAGATATAATTTTAGTTAACAAATCTTTACAGATATGGATAAACAATTAAAGAAAACAGTTACAGTAACTGATTTTTTTTTAATAAACTGCATGATATTGTAAACAAATTTATCAGTATAAATGTATGTGAAATTTTGAACAAATGTGTTTATACTTTCATGTGTAGTTAAAAATTTTCACACATAATTTGCGCCTGTAAATAGAAATCCTTAAGTTCTCACAGAGTGGCTATAATTGCAGTTCAAGAGAATTTTTTCTGGACTTGATAAAAAACAGGTAAACTACAAAACACAACAGAAAACATCCCCAACTATTTTCATGTCATTTCTGTGCACAGAAACCTTTAAAAAATAAAATTTAAAGTAACAACAACCAAGATACTCCTTAAGGGTTGCTGTTTCTTCCAAAAATTTAGAAATTAATCTACTTAAAAAATACTTTGTAATTCATTAAAATACAAGAGGTAACCAATCCAACTAGAGATGGGGTGCACATCAAAAGCTTCTATTTCTATCAGCCTCAGCAAACATTAAACTGTGCTGCTGTGTTTCATCCAGAGCATATCTGGTAATCAAGCCCTAATCTTCTGCTAAAAAAGATGTAGAAAACTGAATCATGTTCTTCAGTTTTAGGATCCAAACACAGAGCCTGACATTGCAATATTGATTTCTCACCAGGTAAAATTCAAACAATGTCCTCCAGAGCTAAAAGACAAGAACATCGTACCAATCCTTCACATGCTGTTCAGCTTATATTGTTCTACGCATCCCTACAATATCCTTCTGATGAGAAACAATCATGTTCATCTACGTTTAAATACTACAGAGGATTCAAGGATGTTACAGTCAAGCTAATATAATTGAACACTGCCATAAAAGCTAATCAGTCCTACAACCAGTCTTAGATCAGTCTTAAATTTTAGTGAGTTGGCAAGCATAAAGAAGCCTATTTTCCTTAAGTAGGGTAAGTGATTGACTCTCACTGCCAAAAAGAAGCTATCTTCCTTATAACAGACAGAAATCACCAAAAAAATCTCAAATCCAGAAGTTTTTATTATTCAAACGCATTGCAAATAGCATGCAGAAGTGATAGGCTGAGGATGTGCATGTTTTGTAAACCAGTAGGTGTAAATGCTTCAAACCATGTAGGCTGGTTTGATGAAAAGAGAACTCAGAATTGACAGATAAAATTAACGCAAATTGTAAAATACCTGGTCTGGGGTAGTCCAAAGATAGTACCAACACCAACACGAGGTAGACAGTTAACCACTTTCTTTACTGTTGCTTGGTCGGGAAAGTTGAACATGACACCCACTGTGAACACAAGAGTTGAAATATGGCATGATTTTATATCTTTTATTTTAGGCTTTCTGGCCCAATAAAATTTAACTCTAAACTTAGGTTTTGAACAGGTAAAAGATTAGACATGTTTCCTTCAGGTTACTATAGATATATTTTTTAATAATTTCCAGAACTGCTTTTATTTACCACTAACAGGGATTTCAACAGAAGTTGCCACTGTTACAAATCTTACAAGGTCTACATTTGTTTTCCTTTCTGAATAGAAGTTAAACCTATATGCACATATTGACTGTCCAGAAAAAAGGAAAGTTTATATATTAATTGGAACACACATTTACTTGTTTATTTTCTAGATGTTTTCAAGACATATTCTTCAAAATATTATCTTTATATTTTGTTTGAAACATTCAATGACACTTAGGAAATAGCAACCTAAAAATCTAAATAACAACTACTAACCCTCTAAAGGGACAAAAAAACCCCTTCACGCATAACAGATCAGAGGTAGGTATGCCTTAAGCAAGAGTTTCCAGAGAATGCCAAATAAACATGTGGATATAAATGAAAGTGAGGCATTGCTAATTCCCAGTTATCACATTTGATCATAATTCGTCATTGAAAAAAAAATAATGAAAAGGAGAAACTAAATTACAAAAATATACTAACTTAAATATTGAGACACTTAATCCCAGCCCTTCTGCTATCTACACAAATCCATACCGAAAAAGACATGACTAAACAGCCAAACAGAATGCACGTGTCCCCAAATCAACACTTGCCATTCCTCTAAACTGACAGTACCTCTATTTGCCATGAATATCTCCAGTGCTGTATTTTGCAAAAGGTAACGTCGGGAAAAGATAGCTCGAATCTCTGAAAAGAGCCATTTTCCATGGAGTCCTTCTGTATATGCCAGAATCTAGTAGAAAGAGACAGAGAGAGAATGTTTTAAATAAGTTGTCAGTATAGGTAATATCTTGTAAAAGAGAAACATTTGACCCACAAACATAGATTCTACCAATTACATGCAAAACATGTGGCAAAATTAAAATATGCTCAAACTTCAAATCATGCTATGAACCTATAATGGATTTTTTGAAATCCTAAATTCAACTACTCATGTCAAGGATTTCAATAATTTGCTTGTATTTTTTCCTTTGAAGACAACTGCCTGTTTTCCATAACCAAGAGAGTTTCAGAAACATTATGAAATGTCTGGCACTTCAGCAAAGCATAAAAGTGTATTCTGAAATGTATTACTAGTGCCATTAGATGTATTTGCACTCACTTTACCATTGCAATAACAGGATTGTAACAAATAAGCAAGAAAAAAGTATTTAAAGAAAAAAATGTTCCTTACGTTTATCGTTAAGGCAACAGTCATTAATTCTGGAACTATAAAGGTTGGCTGTATAAGAGGTTAAGTATCATTTTGTCAGCTAAGGTTAAACACAAACCTGCAAATGAACTCAGCATAATCTCTCTATGGAGTAAGCGGTTGTCAAAGTAACTTGTTACAATTCCTGTCATCCCATCTGACAGACACAGATGCTTAGTCTGCCTTCACAATTCAGACTAATCCCATTTTCAGTCCTCAGCCACTTTGTTTCTTTGTTGCTTCGCTTTTTCCTTTTCATTTCAAAGCTTAATTATGTAAGTGTTAAGGGACAGCAAGATTGGACACTTCTCTGCCTCAGATTAACAAACCATAAGCGAAGGAAAATCTGAGATTTGTCGATTTTAGCAAACACAAAAGCACTTAACAGAAATCCATCACAGAAAAGGAGATTCAGATATAATCCTAGTTATCATCACTCTTACTACAATTTCTCTTGAGCACTATATAATGCATAAAAAAGTGAAATTCAAGCCTTTAACATAACAAAGATTGTTAATGAACCCAATCATCTGTTCATAGATTTTTAACAAAAGAGGATTTTGCCTCACATGTAGCATATATTCACAAATAACCTGCATTTTTGTAGCACAGAGAGCAGAAGCACCATTACAAAAGCACTACACAATACAGTATAAAACACTGTACTACCTTTGTGAATTAAAAGCAAACAAGACTGGCAAACCAAAAGCAGACAGCACAGAAGATCAGAATGTACAAAGCAAAGCATCTCCCACACCTTCTTTCTTTTTACTTAATCCCTCATCTTCCCCTCAATACAAATGCCACAGACAAATTCTCTCCCAACACACACACAGAAAGAGAAGGAAAAAATGAATTATTATTCTGATACAAAATTTTAGAAATGCAATGCAAGGACCAGAGATTGTCAATGGTTGCTAATAATTTCTGGAACTGGGGAACTAACAGACTTGGGCCACACTGACGCTTTCCATACCACATCCATAACCCATCCACACTAATTGGGAGATTTGTATAATTCTATGGCGCTATTCAGAATCACCACGGTTGGCTTTTGTCACATGCATATAAATATCCTTTAAAGAGCACAACATAAAAAGAGGTAACAAAGGAGACAAAGTTGCAGTGCTTGTGTACAAAAATCTCTTAGTACTTTTGCTGGTATTCCTCCATCTTACAATCTTTCAACTGGAGCTTATAATTTCAATTACTATTTTTTGAGACAGACAGGAATGTGACGACCTCTGCTTTTCTGTAGTAACAATTAAAACACAGCAGCCTGCTTGTCACTATCAGTCTGTGCACTGCAAATTCAAACACTTTTTACATGGATGCTGTGAGTAAAATCAGCAAGTTAAATAATTAAGTATTAGTTTTACCCTGTGAAGCAAGCATTTTTTTGTGACAGCGGAAACCCGGCACATGGCCAAAAGCTTACTGCATGCAACTTCTTCAAAATTGGAAGGAAAAGCACCGACTTGAAAATAGCAGAGGTGGTTTATATTGTGCACCTTGTACAGCCAAGATAAAGTTATTGAATTCAGTATAACAGGATTTACAGCAGAAACTGGAACTGCACTGCAGAAACACTACCAGTCACCACTGTAACAATTCTTTAAACCACTCATTAACAGAAGTTATCAGGAGTGAGAAGCAGCTGAGGCCTAGCTGAGCGAGGCCTTCATTTCGAGTTGGAATAGTGTCTGCCTGGTCTGCAGCTTCACTTCAAAGTCTCTGGAGTTCAATTAAAACTGGATTAGGTGGAAGCAGACCTTCTTTGGGACACTGTTCTCTGAAACTCCAGGCACACTGACAGCACCCTAGACAGAGGTCTAGCCCGCCAATGAACCAGTTGCTATGGAAACTGCATCATTACCACTGCTCCCTGCTCATCACACCACCTATAGTAGATGAAAGGTCCAGAAGACAAACACGTTTCTTTCATGTGTATTACTAAGTATTCCTTATGAAAATCCAGTTCAACCTTTTATTCCCTGTCAAATACCTGATTTTATTAATAGAACCTCCTAGCTGCAAAAACTGTCTTGTACTTCAAATTAAATTCAGCTTTTTCATTCTGGCAAAGAGATTTTTTAGATTTTATTTTTTTTTTAATCAGCGTTACCACTTCTGGTATTATCAGAATTACAACTTTCAGAAACTATTTTTGCATTTGCCTGTTTTCAGCCATAAGCCACACAACACAGAATTCTACTTCAGAATTTAAGAACAACTATCTTCTTCAGACTATTGCACAATATGCTGAGTTTAAAAATGACTCGCTTATTTCTGTCTTTTGTCACCACCAGTTTTGGAACAACTTGTGGAGCAAAGACTAATGAGGGTGTACAATGTAATTTAATCTGCACAAAGAGTACCACCTTCCCCACATGAAAAAGTATTTATAGAATTTCAGTTGATTCGACACATCAGATTGAAGCTTAATATACTGCACATTTCATTTATTTCAAAAGATACTGCACCTTATAGGAGGAAAGACAATTTATACAGTTTACGATTTCATTTAAAAATACTTAAAATAAACAAATGAGCTAATTGTACAGTTCTACGGTTCCAAAAATCTCATTAGACAAACTATTCTGTGATTAGACTTTGGCAACACCAGATGAACAGGCGGCATGACAACACTACTAAAAATACAAAATTACTTTTGCCTTTGCATGAAGTCCCTTCTTTACTTCAAGTAATAGAAATGAAGGTCTAAACCTGTAATCAGTCCCGATACTCATGCTGCAAGCCCTGACACTGCATGGCTGGAAGAAACTCCCCAAGAAGCTAGTAAGGAAAGAATAGCCAGCTTCAATTTCCACTTCGAGGAGATTCTGAAATCAGAGTTGCATGAAAACTCAGGTAGCATAGTGCTGATCATGAATTAAGATCATACATAAAGAAGTCCTCTCCCCAAGATTCATACTTGTACATCAGCTAATTTCCAACATTAAAACGCTCACTCGGAAGCTATTCTGTCATTTTACAGTTTTGAAAACAAATGCCCCACCCTGCCTTTTCTTCAAAGCCTCCTTGAATGTTGATGATAAACAATGTCTCTTGTAAAAGATTATATGCTGTAGTTAAAAGATACCGTCACTACAGCTGCCTCCTGAATCAGAAAAGTAGTGTTTTACTAAAGACTAAATGAACATTTTGCTTTACCTTTTAAGCAAACCAATCAGCTATCGTATATTTTATTTTCTTTTAGAGAAAAGTACTATTGATCTTGAAAATGCGAATAGGCTAGAAGTAATTAAGTCTGCAAATGGCTTATAGAACTGAAACAGTAATTAAATAATTATATTACTTTAATGTGCCAGCCAATTTAACTGCCACGAGTAAAATAAAAACTAAATAGCTTATTTAAAAAGCTGATGCACATTTGTATATTTCTGAAAAAAGTTATGATGTACCAGACAAAAAAAACCCAACACACCAAACAAAAAAACCCACCAACACCAAAACACAAAATTAAAAAAATAAAGCATTTCATTTGCATTTAAATTTGATTGCAGTTGAGAGATAAAATCATAAATACATTCTTTTAGCAGCATTCTCTGTCATTTGGGGTCATTTTTGTTCAGGAAGGCAAAATTACAGCACTTAGAGGTTACAAAACCTGACTCAGTTCATGAGGAATGTGGATCTCCACCACAATCTCAGCCCTGCAACTGAGGATCCTCAGATCCTACTGTCCAGGTACTATTTAGTTCCTGGCTGCAGGATTCACAGTGAAAGGATCTTACTCTGCTCTTTGTTTAAATACATCCAAGTACAACCAAACTAATAGGGAATTAGATCAAATTATTAATAATTTTAAATATCCAAATGCTCTTAAATAAATCACAGGGCTTATTAGTTTATTTTAGATTTCTCAAGAGAACAATAAATAACATGTTCATTTTAAATCTCAGATATTTATACAATCAGCCACTGAAATCCACAGGCGAACAGTAGTAGTCTCCCAGCCAGGCCCTCCTGTGAGCACACACAGTCTGCCACACAATCCTGTTCAGCATTTTCATGGGTGACAAACTCAATTAAACATATTCATTACTTTAATGTTCCACTAGACAGTTTTACCCAGCATAAAAAATTTAAATAAATAAATAAATACTCTGTGACCTTTGTATCGATCAGAGCAAAATGGCTTATGCCTGGGTGTGGGTGGTAAAGGGACTGGGGAGGGGGTGGTAAAGGACTCTTATGTTTTCTCTTCCAATTACTGCAGGAGATGATAAAACCACAGCAAATGATGTATCAGCTCATTTTATCTTATCGCTTTGGGGCTAGGTGACAATGAAGTTCATATTTCACTGGTTCCCATTGAAGATTGTGAAAATTACTTGCCCTTGTGACCTGAAATTTCACTGGAAGACAGAAATTTCTCTTCTGCAAAGTAATGCAATTTTTCAGATGTCAACCTTTAGCCCAGCTTTAAAAATTAATTTCATTTATATTAACCAATGATATTGATATTTTCACAGAATGCTCTTTGATACATGAACCACCAACTAGCAAATTGATGT